TATTTATATTAACTGATTAGCAGCTCAATTAATTTATCAGATCATAGTCACTAATATTTAACAAGTACCTGCTCTGTACAGAAGGATTAAGTAATTTGACGAAGAATCCACAGCCAGGAAATGAAGGAGCTAGGATTTGAACTCAGGCAGCCTGGATCTAGAGCCTTAGGTCTGAAAAGGCTGATCAGGATAGGTCTGGAGTGGTCAGGGTATGTGAGGGAAGACCCATGGCACCCTAGCAAGGATCTGATTGAAAAAGCATTCAAAATGCTTCCGGTTTTGCCTAGGATGAGTTCCAATGTCATGGAAAAGAGGTTCCTCTCTTCTGCCTCTCATAGGAATACTGTCTCTACTCCTGATGTTTTAGATTTTAGAAAACAGGATTACTCCTCTTTAGTTAGCTAGTATGCATAATTAACGTATAAACAGACAAAAAATTAAGTTAATAGCTGGTTATCAATCTCTCTACAGTTGTTGCCTAGCCAACTGAAGCAAGCACAGTTTTTGAAAGTTGTGGTATAAGACTGTTGAAACTTCTAACTTGCAGATTATTTTGCTGCAGTCGAATGCACAAGCATAGATTTTTTTCCAAATATAGATAAACTGGAAATAGAAATCTGGAGACATGAGAACTATTTGGCATTCTAAATAGAGGAATAGGCTGAGAAAATGCTAATAGGAGAACTTGTCTTTCCTTTAAAAAGCAAAATAACAAAGTTTTCTACAAAACCATATGAAGCCAGTCCTCTCAGCATAATGCCATTTACTTGATGAGTCCCCTGTACCTTATTGTTAATACATATCGGATTTGTACTACATGCTATGAGATCAGGACGGAAAACATTGATAAGAGACATGGCCCCTACCCTCAGGGAGGTGAGAATCCTAAACGTCTTCATGCTGTATTGGCCTGAATTTAAACACTGTTCCCTTCCTATCTCCCAGCCCCAGTCCATTCAACATGTATTTATGAAGCCCCCTACAGTGAATGTGCAGGCTCTGAACCAGGCATGGCGCATGTGTTCGCTTACTTGTTCTTCTCAACCACCCTGCCAGACATTCAGTCCAAACTGTCCAATCCTAAATACTAATCCTTGCCTTTGATTCTCGTACTAGTTATGCATTGCCACAGTAATGCTACATTTTAAAAAGCCACAAAAACTCCTGTGGCATACAGCAATAAATATTTAAGTTTATATGAGTTTATGGGTCAGCTGGATAGTTCTGCTAATCTGGGTTGGGCTCAGAGATCCCATCCGGGTGTGATCATAGAGTGTGATACGCTGGCAAGTCAGCTAGGAACTGGCTCTCCTAGGCTGGCCTCAGCTGCACTTGGTCTCTCCTCCTCCAGCAGGCTGGCCTGGGCTTATTTGTCTCTAAGAGAGATCACAGAAGGGTGCAAGGCCTCCTTAAGATGTAGGTTCAGAAGTAGCACAGTATCACTTCTTCCTCATTCTACTGGCCAAAATAAGTCCTGATGCCAGTCTAGATTCAGGAGATGAAGATGTAGATTCTACCTTTTGGTTGATTGAAGGTGCTAGGTACAAGATGAGGTGTGGCTGTTTTGTAATCAATTTAGTACAGTTTTCATTTGCTATTGTTCCCTTTATTCACTGGATACTGCCTGCCTCATCCTAGCTTTACAAATCATTTAACTCCTCTAATGAAGAATTTTTATCAGTTCCCAAGCCTAGAGCAAATGTGGGTAAAACCCATTAATACAAACACGTAATCCAAACACATCATCTTCTATGAGTCCGTATGATTGCTTGCCAGTCAATATCACTAAATTTTTTAAAAAGAAACTTCACCACAGCCTCATTTGCCAGCTAGAAGA